CAAACATGGACCATTCTACTAAAAGAATCGCCAATCAAAGTGAAGAGGAAAGGGGACAAAGGGTCACCTTGTCTTAGGCCTCTCTTAGCAAGAATCTTTCCACGAGGCCGCCCGTTGATCATAATTGAGAAATTGGCAGTTGTCAAACACTCTTTGATCCAGCTCCTTCCAGTTTTGCCCGAAGCCTTTCTGCTCAAGGATAGCGTCAAGGTAAAGCCAATCCACCTTGTCATAGGCCTTTTCATAGTCTACCTTTAGGATGAAGCCAGATTTGTTATTGACTTTCCAATCACCCACTAATTCAGCTGCAACCAAAATGGCATCTAGAATATGTCGTCCTTCAATGAAAGCAGCTTGGGCATCATGAATGATAAAAGGCAGAACCCTTTTAAGTCTTTCAGCCAGGACCTTGGAGATGATTTTATATAAAGAGGTCACAAGACTAATTGGTCTAAAATCCCCAATTCTCAAAGCTTTCATCTTCTTAGGAATCAAACAAATGTAAGTTTCATTGGTGCGTTGGTTTATGATGGCGTTTTGAAAAAAATCATGGAACACTCTTGGAAGATCGTCTTTAAGAATGTTCCAAGTTTTTTTTAAAAACTCATTAGTGAAGCCATCTGGACCGGGGGATTTCAGGTTTCCAAGGTTGCAAACAGCCTTGTGAATCTCCTCCTCTTCAAACGGTCTTTCCAACCAAAGCTTCCAACTCATGCTTAGGCACTCCCATTGTATGCCATCCACCAAAAATCTATCACCCATAATGCTTCCATATAACTTTTCAAAAAAACCAACAATTCTTGCTCAATTTCTACTTCTGAAGTCAGGAGAGAACCATCCTCTTTTTCCATGGTAGAGATAATAGCTTTTGATTTTCTAACAGAAGCCCATCTATGGAAAAAATTGGAGTTCTCATCCCCTTCCTTAAGCCACCTGAGCTTACATTTCTGGGCCCATTGCCTCTGCTCCTTCATGGTTAAATCCATAAAGATAGCCTTTAGCTCATTTCTCTCTGTATGCAAATTAGCGTTGAGACCCCCTTGTTCTTCTAAGCTATCAAGCTCGTCAATCTACCTTTGAATCTGTCTCATCTGGTTTTCAACCGTACCATWGACCTCTTTGTTCCAAGTAATAAGTTTCTGTTTTAAGCCCCYTAGCTTTGACATGAAAGTGTAACCCAGCCAGCCCTCATACTTTAACGAACTCCACCAATCCTCTACATTAGCCATGAGTCCAACCACATATTTTCAAAACGGAAGGGGGAAGGGCCCCATTTTTGGTTACCTAGTTTAAGCTGCAAAGGGAAATGGTCTGAAGCAGTTCTCGTCAGTCTCACCATTTCGACCTCCTTAAAGGCATCCATCCAACCTCTCGAGAGAAGGAACCTGCTGATGCGGGTGGCGATCGGTTGGTCCCTAAAGTTAGACCAAGTGAACAATCCATTCTTAATGGGAACATCAAAAAGGTCAAGCTCCTCAATGACCTTGTTGAAATTCTTCATGCTTCTTGTCATTCTTCCCCGTTTGACTTCTCCCCTATTCTTCTAACAACATTAAAATCTCCGCCTACACACCATAAGTCTGAGCACAAGCCGTTGAGGTCGATGATTTCTTGCCAAAAATCGTCTCTTCCTTTGGGAGTTGAAGGCCCGTAAACCCCTGTCACCTAGCCGTTAAAGCAATCTTTATAATTTACTTTGAATAGAAACCGAATAAATACCAAGAATGGAATCCATCACCTGGATTGTGCGCTGATTCCACATGACAATAACTCCACCCGAAGAGCCTTCTGCATCTAGCATAGACCACCCAACATGTCTCGAGCTCCAAATGGCTTTGACCAACCTTCTATCGAAGAAAGCTATCTTAGTTTCTTGGAGGACTATATCCGGCCCCGCTTTTGACAACAGAGCTTTGATAAGCACTCTTTTGGGGGGAGCGCCAAGCCCTCTGACATTCCAGGAGACAATTTTCATGGGCACACTGAAAGGCCCTCATCTACTTTCATCTCTTCAGCTTCAATCTCCTTCTCTATAGATCTAAGATAATTAGTAATCTCCCCCGTCTTTTTTTTAACCGATGCGCTTCCTTTGTTGGAGATGGGTCTAATGCACATGTGCCATTTTTTCAATTCTCTAACCATTTTTTTTAGAACGAATGTCTGGTTTTATCATCCCCTTCATCCTCAGAGGAGTCTGTGACCTCCTTCTCTCGTTTACCCTCTTTTTTCTTGACTACAACTACTTGATTTTCCCTTTGAATCTTTGAGGAATCTATCATATCTACTTGGGAATCCTCACAAATGGGCGGGTCCCTTTCTACAATCTTATCTGAAAGCTGCAGATCAACCACCTCCTTGAAACAATCAGAAAAACCTTCTGGTAATTCTTCCTGTTCTACAATCAAGGGGGTTGCTTCAACACATTCTAAATCCTCACTACTGAAACTCTTCGCTGAAGTCTCATAATCTGTTTCCCCTTTTTTTTCCTTTTCTGAATCTCTGCCTCTTCCTTTGTCTTTTCCTTTGTCATCTGTAGAGTGTATCTTTCCTTTTTTGTGAAAAAACCGGGTCTGATTTTTGTTTGAAAAGGAAACAGCCTTACTTTTGCCTTTTAGCATTTTAAAATCCCGATAAGGGTCATCTGCCTTATCGTCTAAAGGCTTGGGCCTTTCTTTGTCCTTTGCTTTGGTCTGTGAGCCTGTGGGGGGCAGGCTCCTGTCAAATCTGTCGTACTAAGGGCATCAGAGGGGTTGCCTAATTGACCGACCACACAGGGAGGGTACCAAATTTTCACCACTGGGTGATGCTGTCCATCCTGAATTCTCCAAGCATCCGCTGTACTAGGCCCTGAGTCGTTAATTTCAGCTTGGTAAAACGCTCTTGCTGTTCCGGCGAGAATCCTCCATGAATTCCGATGACTTTTTCGGCCAAGAAATCTGCATTTTCGAAAGAGACCACCTGCGCCTGAAACAATTGTAAACCATCCACAAGAGTTATTTTTGCTGGAATGAACCTGCAATAATTACCTTTGACCTTTAAAGCCACCTCCAAGCAATTAATAAGGCAGGAATTAAAGCTGGCGTAGTCCAGAAAACCTCCCAAAACATTTCCTATTGCCTTAAAGGTTGCCAAACTCCATAAATGCAGGGGAATGTTTCTCGCTTTTAACCAATCCCCGTATGAAGGCACCACGAAAGAGCGCCCGTGTAGATGCGGATTCCAGACTTCCAATTTTAGAGTTAAAGGCCCAAAAGTAACCCATCCTCTGTTTTTTAGGAGAAGACAAGCAAGTTCTGAGGTTGAGCATTTGAGCAGGGCCTTATCCGGTTGGAATGCATTGATGATCAGCTTGCTTTCAGTCTGCTCTTGGATTATTCCCCATATTCTCTCCCAATCATCATGAAAGTCTCTGCACGTCACCACGATTGTGTCTTCCCAGTTTAGGCTGCGAACCTCTGTTTCACCCGCAGTACTTATATCGTTCCACGACAAACTAAAGGACATGGCCTGCTTATCTGCTTTCTGCACTTCTGCTCTTAGAACATCGGCAAAAGACTTCTGCTTCATTACCCTTGGGCGAGTCTCCGAAGGGGAGGGACTCCCTACCGTCCCATTCTTGATGGATTTTTTCTCATTCAAAATGTTTCTTTTTTCTTCAAACTTTTGAATAATGAACTACATGAAAATACGTATTTATTATATTCATGGGTAGATTTTGTTCTCTAGAATTTGTCTCGGTAGTATAAGACAATGTGTCCCTATCATGCTAGTTGTAAGTCACGTTGATTTACGATAACTTGTGATCTATATGAATCTAGTAAGAGTGAGTTTGGGCTGTTCATGTGCTTTTAGTTTTAGAAGCACTTTTTTCACATTCAATGATGCGAGAATCTTTTAAAGAATTTATAATTAGTTTTTTTATTCTTTTTTTCCTTGATTTCTCAGAATCGATGTTGGGTGGCTTAAGCTAGTAGATCCTATCTTTGAACGCCTCTACTTCTTTTCATATAACTTAATGAAAAGTTTGTTCCTTGCTTCAAAACAAAATATGCTAGTGGATCCCTATAATTGGGGCTCGTTGCTTGGGTTGAGCAATGCTATGACTAGTGTAAGGCTCGAATACAAGACCTCATGGCAGGTGATACCACAACGTTCCATGTCTTTGCCTTTGTGCCATCTCCTAGGGGCCTAAAGAATTTATAATTAGTTCATAAGTGTTTTTAAAAAATAACAATGCTGATTGCCATTTGGAGAGGGAACTTGCTTGTTTATCATTATGAAAAGTAAATTTATTTGTTTATCATTATGAAAAGTGAATTTATTTGTTTAGGATTCCATCTCTATGATCATCATATTTGTATCCAGTAGTGAGATTTGCTCTATGCACCATGATTTTCTTCTCAATTATCATTCACTATTCACGAAAGGCTGTGGATTACCCTAACAGTTCATCTGTAATTTCTAGTTTTAGATCCTGTGATAGTCAACATTTATGGGTATTAAAAAGAATGTAGGGGTTGCTACTGCAAAAGTTGAGGGATTTTTTCTTATAAAATTATATTATTTTCTGCATGAAAGATAGTATAAATGTAGCTGGCATCAATTGTTGTATAGTTTCTTGCAGTCTGTTGTTGGTGTTTGTCTTCATAAGTTTTAGAGCTTGTCACAAGTTCCACTATTTATCTTTGACTTTAGCACGTTRTTTATAGCTTTTGGTTGGTGTAAATATTTTTATCCCCTTCTAGAAATTGTAGTCTCAATGATCTCTTGACAAACTGGAAGGTCTAGATTTGGGTTATCTTTTGTATAAGTTTCTTATTAAAAAAAGTTAGTATTTAGTATCCCTATCAAAATAGCAGCAACATGCATTTCTTTTAGCCTCCCTCGCCCTTTTCTCTTTCTATTTCTTTTTCTATTTCTATGGTAGATGCTTGATGGTTTAATTGAATTATATGCTGATCTTTAGAACTTGTCTGTCCCTAAAAATAAAAATAAAATAGGATGCATCGGCAGCCAGACCATGTCATGGCTTTCTTATTGGCTGAACTGGGAACCAGTGGATCTCTTGATGGACAGCAGAGATTAGTTGTTAAAGGAAGGTTTGCACCAAAGAACTTTGAAGGAATTCTGCGTCGATATGTCAGTAAGTGGCCTCACATTGATTTAGTTCATGAGCTTTGTCTGCCAAATGTGACCTAAATTCAGCAGTCTGGCTGTTTCTCTTTTGCTAATTTGTTTTACTAGCAGGTTAGGGAGATCCGGAATTGATGGATAATGAATATGTCCATTGATTTTGCCTTATTTCCATATTTTGTTGTTTTCATCTATGACATTTAACTTGATCTGTTTACTCTTTCCATTGCTAGCATCGGAGCGCAGTACTATTCTGTGATAAATATAAGAGAGTAATTCATGAACTTTTTTCGAGATGGGATGGGTGAAAAACTGTGAATGAGAAAGTCAGTGCACGTACAAAACTATAGCATTGTGAAAGTCCGTGCATGGTGTTGTACAAAGTCCTGGTCAGTCTTTATAAGGGGGAGGGGGTGGGAGTCCATTTATAAAAAATGTACTTGTTTCAATTCAAACAGTTGAACATGTTTGATGTTTGCTTAAAGCTTAATTACTGGTGGTGTCTCTGCTGGATACATCTTGTTACCGACTGATTTATTCACTTATAATTTCTATCTTCCTTGCTATTTTCCCTCTTTATGAAAGCTCATCTTTTCATAAAATTAAAATTAAGATTTCTTTTCCCTTTTTTCTTCCTTTTCTTCTCCTTATTAATTTTTCTCTTTCAGATGAATATGTGATTTGTATTGGGTGCAAGAGTCCAGACACTATCCTTTCAAAGGAAAATCGACTCTTCTTTCTCAGATGTGAGAAGGTAAGGTTTTTATGCGTCTTTTCTAGTCCTGGAAATTGTATGCTGGAGAAGGCGATGCATGTTATTGGCTATTGCAAAGTTGTGATTTGTGTATAATGTTTGTTTGGCACTTACAAATCACTGCAATGACCAAACACAATGTAGTTCTTTGCGTATGAAACTCTCAATATTATGCCTTTTCCCTTCTTGGCAGGCTGATTTTTGTGGTTTTCAAGATGCCTTTATGGCTTCTCTCTTTTCACTTTGTATGACATTCCCAGTATTAAGACAGCTAGGGGCACAATTATGTGCTACCTTTTTATAAACTTACCACATTTCTTTTTGTTGCAATCAGTATGAATTTTCATTGTTACAATTATGTACTACCTTCATTTTTAAATTTTTTCGTTGTTACAATTATGTACTACCTTCATTTTTAAATTTATTTTATATCCTGGATTTCTCATCTAAGCTTTGATATTTGAATAGATTGTTTTTTATTTGCCCTGCGCCTCTTCCTACTAGAAAGAGGCTGAAGATTTGACCTTTCCATGTGCCGCAAAGGTCGCTGTTTAATTATGTAGTTTATTTTCATATTCAGAAATATGATTTAACTGGAGGCTTTCGTTATTCTAGTCTGTTTTACAAGTTTTCTCATTCGTTCATGTGCTCATGGTTTTCTGACTAGTTTCTTTGCATCATCTTTCCCTTGTTTTAACTCGAGCCTTTATTTGTTTCGCATGTGATTAACAGTGTGGTTCTGGACGATCGGTTGCTCCAATTAAAGCTGGTTTTGTTGCTCGTGTTGGGCGGAGGAACACTGGAACATGATTTTTACTTTGTCCTCTATGTTGAAGCTCGTCGTTTTTGAGTAATAACCTCTTTTTAAAACTTGGTTTACTATTTGAATGATCGCAAGTGAATTTTGAAGTGAATGCGATATTTTAATTGGCGGTTCTATAATGTCAAGTTCATGACCGAATTATGATGTTTTTTACTCTCCTCTTTATCCATGTGGCACACTTATAAATATTTCACTTTTTGGGAATTATTTGTTTAGTTCCCCCATGATATAATTGTGGATAAAATGAACCTCTACCGTAATAACAGTGGATTGCTTATTTTAGGCAACAGAGGATTTGGATTGAGATGGGAAAAAAGCGATGAAGAAACAGAGAGTAGGTACCCTTTATTTATTCACTACTTGGCTTACTGAATGTAAAGCTGCAGCCGTATCGTAATGCTAACTAATGAAATATGTATCGTAATGCTAACTAATGAAATATATTGCATTACGTGATCCTTAATCTCCCTTGTGTACTTGAAAATTTGTCGTGTACTTGAAAATTTGTCTAGTAAGACATTGAAGGTGTCTGTCGGACCAGGTCCTATCAATTATGGCAACTAATCAGATTTTATATGGGATATGGGATATCACGAGGCAGAATGGTTTCTTTTAAGGCCAGGAATCATAATGAAAATGGTTAAGAATGAAATCAATCGGCCTAGCTCAAATTAAATAAGATAGGTAAAAATTTGAAAACACCTTTTAATTATAATAAAAGATTTTTTTTCTTGGTTTAGCTCAATTTTCTCAACAGTTAGCTTGCTAGGGGATGTTTGGGAGTGGGGCCCACCATGTCCTGCACTGAGCTACCTCCTCGAGTAGCACTACAGGAGGAATACCCCATCCACGAGAGGTAAGTATTCACAATGAAAACCACATTAAGCTCTCCTTGTTTTCCTCCCTATTTAATTCTCTAACTTGAACGTTGGAGGATGTCAGAGGATGTTTGCCAGGCATCTTACTAGTGTGCAGTCCATTCCTATTGGAAAACCCCATCCGAGAACCGTCCCATCAAACAAGTCAGCGAACCAGATTTTGGCATCAACAATACTTGTTTTATTTAATGTTTCATTTGATTTGATAATTTTCAAATGACTTAAAAGATTTTACTAAACAATGAGCACAATGGTACAATTATGTTTGGTTGTCTATTTTTATATTTGTTATGGGTTTATATGTGACATTATACATGGGCAAAACTCTGAGGGACATGTGGGTTGAGGCCTCGAGTCCCAACCCACAATGGCTCGGAGAAGGAGAGCCTTCCGGTCATTGATAACTCTCCATAAGAGAGTATTTTGTGGTATAAATTGGACAAATTTGGTGTGTAAACGTAAGGATCCTTGGTCAATTAGCAAGAAAAGAGAAGCATTTAGTGAAGTAGATACTTAAGCTGTTTAAAATCATTAATATCCTTGATTTGAATAAAGTTGATCTGATAATCTCATTATTTCGGTGTATTTTGCAGAATTAAGGATGCCTAAGCGGGGAGCTAGGAAGGCTGCTGTGGCAATACTAAAGCTTGGGAAAAATTCGAGATTGTTGGAGCTTGCTTGATGTTCTTGCATCTACTAACTGCACAATAACTTTGTAACTAGTTTTTAATTGAGTCCATACAGCTTCCAAGTGTTGTCCTAAGAACCAGGGCCCAGTATATAAGGAAAACAATGTTCGGTAGCAAAAAAGTAGACAGAACAGAGGAATCAATTTTGGGATTGCAAATAGAGATATTTCTTACCCATTTCGAGGAAGAAGTTGACGAAGGAGGAGCTTAACCTTGCATCATCACCAAGTTGAGGGATTTTCCACCACCGATCTTTACTTACTTTTGTCATTATGAGGTCGGTTTTGCACATTCTGAGGATTAGGTCTTTTAGGTTCTCTATAGGTCTTATTTCTCTTCTACCTACTTTTTTATTTTCTTTTATCATAAACTATACCTCATCTTCGGGGGAACTCATATTTGCTTATATAATAGAGGTGTTTCAATTCTTTCGTCTTACTGATTTTGCTTGGCTAGCATTGTTGGTTTGTTAGCTTGTTTGTGACTTGGAAAAGTCTTCTTGATGCATGTTTACCTCTATTTGCGTTAGATTCCTCTCTTTGAAGTAGAAAATGGTAAGTACTTAGGAATGAGGCTCACCCTATCGTGTGTCTATAAACTACGTTCTATGCTTGTTTGTTTTACAGCGGGAGTAGGGAAAAAACATGTTTTGGTATATCGGGAAATAACCATGTCTATTTGGGAATTCAGTATTTTGAGCTTGCTAATGATTGGATGTGAATCTCGAGCAGAAGCGATAGAACGTTTTCATGAATTTTCTTTTTGAAATTCGAAACACGCAATATAGAGGGAAAACTTTACCTTCGAAGCTTTTCTTCCTGCAAAAAACAAAAGGACACCACCACTCGATCTACTTGCTATGACTCCAGCGAGGACCGGATTTGTGGGAACCGGCTTTTGGAATTTGGGAAGGAAAAAACGAGATTCTTGTAGAACCTTTTCTTTTGACAGTATAAACGAGATCCTATCTATATCTCTTACTCTTTATTGTTGTTACTTATTAACTTTTAATCTATAGAAGGGGGAAATAAAATAATTCATGTTTRAAGAAACTACAGAATGATTGATTGATCTATATTTCTCTTCATCCCTAATAAGGGGAGTCATCACTCGGGCCGATGATCCAACTCCGTACCAAGACGCCGGATGTATATCAGTGATTGGGGGATATATGGGTTAATTAGATGGAGCCTCAGTTGTGTGCTTGTATACTCTTTTCCAATTTAATATATATATATAGAGGATGATAATAGTTAATCAATATATAAGTCAATTTTCTTTTAAAAAAAATGTATATATTGAGACAATGGTTGATCAATATATGTTAAATTGTTAATAATGATATACTAAGATTGCAGTGTTAATCAATATCTTGGTTAATATGGATAATCATTGATTCACATATGTTGATTTACTAATTTTAAAAGAATGGTATACTTGCAATTATTTTTTTAAATGACACATTCACAATTAGTTTTAGAAAATCACATGTTTGCAAATATTTTTTTAAATACTATCCATTAAAATTTTCTTGATACAATTTACCAACAAAATTTTGGAAATATAATATTTTTTATACTCTAACAAATAATATGAAAATATAAGAATTTGAAATATAACTAAGAAAATAATATTGTGGGGTTGTTAAATAAATAAAAAAATTGGCGTGGCCAGTGCATCAATATTAACATACATCTAAGTCAAAGCACAATACGATGTTGTGAGTTTGATCCTCCACCTCACTTAATGTACTAAAAAAAGTATAATACGGCGTCTTTCCGCTTTTTAATAATTACTAAATATATGCATCTTTACTTTAAAAAATTAATAATAATAAATATAGGCATCTTTTAAGTTCATTTCTGTTTTTCCTATTCATATCATGCCCTTCACGCAACCAATGACTAATCTTGTAGTTATTGTAAACCTATGATTCATAATTCATTGTATGACTACGTCAAATATGAGTTGTATATTAATATTATATTGATTAATTACCTCCTACGCATCCATTTATTGACCAAGTTTCCTTACCTTGAATCTTGACAAACTAAAACCAGTGTTGAATCAACAAGTTAAAAAATCTCTCCTAAGGATTTTGTTAGCAAGATTTTGAATTACAAAATTAAAATAATTTGCACGATATCTTGACATGAGGATGTCAGCGGTATCAAGGTACATAGTAATATGATATTGTCTGCTTTACGTATAACTCTTTCTTTTGATTTTACCCAAAAGTCCTCATGAGGTAATTGTCCTTTTCTATATACCCATAATCACCTATTTCCTTAGTCAACGAGGGATTTTGTTTGCCTTCACCTTACAAACCTAACATGAAGAACATTTAAAATTTAGGTCCAGGAGTTTGACCAAGGTACTTTTATTTATATAATTAAATAAAATCTCACTACAAGTATTATTTATGGCTTTTTCGACCGTGTTTTTGCCGATGCATTTGAAACCGTCGGTTGAAGCTCTTTCTCCCGACCACATAAACAAGTTCGGGTTAAATAAGACTTCGCCCGACATTTGTCAAAAACTGTTGGAAGAGGTCATCTTCGCTCGACATTTCATAAAGACAATCGGGATAATTGTTACATCCAAAYAATTTTTTAAAAAATAAATAAAACCTCTCTCGACAGTTGTCACACACTAACAGGAGAAGCCAACTTGGCCCAAAGGTTTTCAAACAACATCCGGCGAACTGAATTCCTCCCGAAGGTTTATGCAAAATGGTCGATATAGGAAAAATTGACAAAATAAGCGGTGCCTGTTAAGTTTTCTAATCACCCTCTTCAAAACACAAGTTTTCTAGTCACTGCTAACATCACATACTTTGTCAAATGACATTTCATGCCCCTCCTTACTTTTTTTTTCTCTTCCAGACTCCATCTCTTCTCTCTCTCCTCCTCTTTCCTCCATTTATTAGATTTGCTTGATATTCTCCATGATTTCTACACAACACACACCAGTTTTTGGCGTCTTTGCTAGGAATTCAACGAGTGGAGGTCCCGTTCGGTTGTCGTCCGCTGCTTCCATCCCGAGCTCTTGCGCCTCCCTGGTGGCCTCTCCGGCAACATTGTTGAACGATGACAACATTGCCGGCGGCGAGAAAGAGGGAGAGAATAATTTGCATATGAAATAAGATAAAAATTTCCTTATTATTTTTCCCAACTCTTTCCCCCTCTCTTCTAAAATCAAATTTTCAAGATTTTAAAAACTTTCCTTCTATATCTCTTGCACGTCCCTATACGGACTATCTTCTTCTCCATGAAACCAAAACCAAATGTGTCGAGGAGGGAGGGGAGAGGAGAGAGGGGAGAGAAGAGAGAGGGACAAANGGGGAGAGAAGAGAGAGGGACAAAGCGAGAACGAGAGAACGAGAGCGACGTCATCGATAGAGTGAGATCGAGAAGGACAGAGCGAGATCGAGAAAGACGAGATCGAGAAGGAGAGAGCGAGATCGAGAGAGAGGTGAAGAAGTGGTGATAATAACGAAAAAAATGGGATGGTTAGGAAAAAAAAAGGGATTGTTTTCTTTTTCTTTTTTTTTCTTTACTCCACCAAATTGAGTTAAATTAAATTTTAAATTTAGGACTAAAGGAGCAGAGTCATGAGGAAGAGATTAAGGAAAAAACAAGATTTTTTGTTATACTTCTACGATTAAAGGAGGACTACCTAATTAAATTACAAATTTAAATTCTAATCCTAATCAAAATTAGGGGAGATATTAAAGGAGAGATTTATGTTAATTTTTCAAATGATTGGTTTAAATAATTAAAGAGGGAAAAAAACAATTAAGAAAACAAATCTAAATTAAATTTCAAATTTGAATATACTAAAATTAATCAATTATAATTTTAAATTTTAGATAAAAAATCTTCAATGCTTAGTATTTTAAATTTGAGATTTCGTTTTTCTCCATTCCAATTTTTAAAATCGTTTCTCGCTCAATCTCGCTCTCGCTCACTCATCTCTCGTTTTCTCTCTCTCGCTCAATTGTCTCTCTCGCTCAATTCTCTCTCTCTCAAATTTCTCTTATTCAACTCTCTCTCTCTCTATCTCCTTCCCCATCCCATCGTAACTTTCTTCCTCTCCTGAGCCTCTTTCTTTGACGAACGACCTCCCTCGTCGGCTTTGATGCATCCGTCGCCGGTGATTGTTGAAGGTCACGGGAATTATGGAGGCTGCTATTTAAAAAATGGTGAGAGATTTGGTAGAGTAAACAAGAAAAAACTCATGCTTGCGGAAGACATGGAAAAGAGAAAGAGAGAAGAAAAAAATCTGGAAAAGGAGGAAGATGGAGGTATATAGAAGAAATAAATAAAAAGAGAAATAAGAGAGAAAACCTAAAAGGGACGRAAACTAAAAACTTTAGTAGTAGAGTAAGGAGAGGCATGGGAGGTCATTTGGCAAAGTAGGTGATGTCAGCAATGACTAGAAAACTTGTGTTTTGAGAGGAGCGATTAAAAAACTTAAGAGGGCCTCTCAGGAAGCTTATTTTGTCAATTTTCCCATGTATTTTTTAGGGCAAAATACATTTTTGGTCCCTGAAGTTTGAGGTAGGTGTCTACTTAGTCCCTAAAGTTTTAAAATGAATACTTTTTTACCCTGAGGCTTAAGGTAGGTGTCTAATTCATCCCTGAAGTTTCAGAATGTACACTTTTGGTTCTTGAGATTTAAATTAGGTGTCAATTTGGTCCCTGAGGTTTTAAAATGAACACTTTTTGGTCCCTGAAGTTTGAGAAATAGTTCTAAATGGTCTCTAAAAATAATATGTGTCTGGTATGAATGGTGGACGACGACGGAAAAGACGTGGTGGTCGCCGAAAGAGGTAGGAGAAAGAGAGAGGAAGAGATGAGGAGAGGAGAGACAAAGTACCATCACCGACACATATATTATTTAATTAATATAAATTGTCATGTCAGCAACTACAATAAATAATTTAATTGCAATTTGCCACGCCATTTATTAGTTAATTAACAGTAAAAAAAAATCAGGGACCATTTAGAATTATTTCTCAAATTTCAGGGACCAAAAGTGTTCATTTGAAAGCTTTAGGGACCAAGTTGACACCTAATTTAAACCTTAAGGACCAACATGTTAATTTTGAAACTTCAGAGACCAAGTAGACACCTACTCAAACCTCAAGGACAAAACGTGTTCATTTTGAAACTTCAGCGACCAAATAGACACCTACCTCAAACCTGGGACCAAAAATTTATTTTGTCCTATTTTTTAATATGCGTGTTTTAAAATAAGACCTCATCTGACGGTTAGGAAAAACGGTTGGGAGAGGTCACCTTCGCCCACCAAGGCATTTAGTACTTGGATTCAAATTGTAATCCTTTGCCCGTTTTGACAAGTCGTTGGGTGAAGGCAAACCAATACTTTCAAACAATCCTGAGTATTTTTTTGTTTTCTTATTTTCTACAATCTATATCGTGTGATTTATGTTAGTGGATACCAATAACTGGAGTTTGTTGCTTGAACTAAACAACCAGCACAAGACTCGAATTTTAGAACTCAAGATAGGTGGTGTTATGTACAGAGCAATATGACTACATCAAGAGGGACAACCGAGACTATCGACAGGCAGAGTCGGTCCAAGGCACGGAGGTCGGCCCAACAAAGGGTCGACCCCACCTCCATGCCGAGGCACCGAACCCTTCTCGGCCTTAGGTTGAGAAGGTCGCCCTCAGTGCTCTCCTTTTTTCCTCTCGGTCCCTGTTTCAAGTGTGTGGCGTTCGGGCCCCAAAGCCGAGCCTTATACCCGTTCCTCTACCGATGCTGGAGGCATCCCGACCCAAAGCCCACGAATATCAAACCTAGGGTTGGCATCCTGAGAAACCCTAGGGAGGCGAATCAACTAAATAGGAGGGGGTCAACCCTTGAAGGTAAGTCAGAACTACACTTTCAAGTATCTTACTTGTTTAGTAATCTCTCCTTTTGCTAACATAGGCATCAGAGCCAGTGTGACTAAAGTCACACCGGATTAGATTTTGTTTGGTTTTGCAGGTATCCGATCCCGTAATATCCAAATCTTGTGTGTGGAATGAAGTAAGTTGATGTACCAGAATCCAAGTATCAACAAGTGGTATTTCAAGACTCTAAGCGATTTGTCACTGTACTCTCCCAAGAGACCAACCCCTCCCCACGTTTTTTCTCTCACGAATGTATTCATTTCCATAACCTTTCTCCCTTGACTCTACTCTCGTCCACCTTTTCCATATAATATTTTTAATAGTTGAATAATCAGGCCGTTGATTTTTTCTAATGCGCCACTTTATTTTATTTTTCATAATGTGCGGCTCCCCTAAATAACATCATTTTGACTAAAACTCTCCCAAATGATTTCCCCTAATTGATCGCTAAAACCTTTTTTTTTCCTTTACAGCTCAGTTACCATTGTGCGCCCAATGTCATGTGTAACTTACATGATTTAGAACTCATCACTCCCATCATATATTTTCATATCTTAATCTATGGAGCTGATAGTTTTGAAACAATTTTAAAATGTAAAAATTAAAATGAAATTTTTGAAACAATACGAACATATAATTGAAACTTACCTTAATAAGAGCATAATTAAAACTTGTCACATATATCCACCATGGGTACCTTTAATTTTAACAATTATTGTCACAATCATGTTTCTATCTCCATTACAGAAAATTTGTAAAAAAGCGAATTATTTTGAAACAATTTTAAAGGTGAATGGTAAAAATGAAAATTTTTAAATAATAAAAATATAATTGAAACTTAAAATTCAAGTAAGAATGAATTTAACAAAAGTATACCACGTAGATTTTAGATAGCACATAGATGGGTTAGGGGGTATGATTGGGTGGATAGGTGGTATTAACGAGGGAGGACTGAGGATGAAGGGAGTTGCCCCTCTTAACTGTCTTTATATTCAAAAAGTTATATAGAAATATTTTTAAAAAATCCTCTAACTTACCTTCTAAAATTTTCAATACGAGAATATAAGATTTTTCCCGTAGGAAATTTTGTAGTTCCACTTTTTGGAAAATTTTACCTCCACTTTTTTGTACATTAGGATAGAAAATCAATGAAGTTGAAGGAAATTAAAGGTAATGGAGTTTGCCTTCAAAAAATAACAATAATAGTATAATGGAATTGAAATTGAAACTAAAATGGGAGATGTTGATGTTGATGGGAAATTAATCAAGAGTGGGATGGTTGTACATGAAAGAAGAAGAAAATATAATTTTTTAATKGAAGTATAGAGATGTTGATGTTGGTGGTGGTGGGGGTGCACGTCAAATGGGCAGAAGGAAAAGAAAAGGTCCAAGTCACCACCGATAAAAAAAAATTATAATAAAAAAATTGATAAAAAAATTTGGTAGCTGTGTTGACCAAACACTATCATACCTGATACGATCAAGTTGAAATGTTTGGAATTATATAGATGGTGAGGTGTATAGGAGTTAATTAATTAGGAAATTCAAAATGTTGCCACCAACCTATTTCATCATCATCTTTGAACGCGTCCAAAACAAAATAACTGTATTTTTTTTTTTCTTTTGAAACCATTGCATTGCATGCTAATTACTAGACAGATACACACATATGTATATTTATATATTCTTTGTAAATTAACTTATTTTAATGTTACCTTGCTGCTAGGCTAAATAAATATAAAATTTATGGCTTAAGTGTATGAATTGAAAATTGAGGGTATAAAACTTTGGAAGGGAAAATAAAAAAAAATCTTGTAATTTAATTAATGTGATGTAATGATTGACAAATTGTTTGATTTGCGGATTTTTTTTTTTAAATGGGGGTGGGAAGCAAAAAATTTTTATGTATTTGATCAAAATACGTCATCTATTTTTTTAAAATTTTAAATATAACACAAATTTTTACTTATATCAATATATCAGATGTAGTATATCAAACACTCATATCAGATGTAGGTCACATACATATTGCACAGACACTCGTATTCGTAGAATATCAGGTGTATATCACATGCATATTGCAAGTATATCAGATACTCATATCAGATATATATCACATACATATATCATTAATTAGATATATTACTATATCATTTTGGTAAAATTGGACATCTGTTCTTTCTTCTATAAAAAGATGCTATATTTGAAAAAAAACTAAATATTATTACTATTTAACTAATTTTACTAAATATTTTTGTCACCCCTACAATTTCTTTTACTCCTGGAATTTGTTAATTAGGCAGAAATGAGTAAATATTTGAGTTGAGAGATGCCAGACAATTATAAGAATATTTTGTACGCGCGTGAGGCTGAGCCGGAGGCGCATGCATTGTGTATATATAAAGTAAGGAAGACTAAGAGGGTTGTGGTGCGTCCATATCGGTCACTGTTGAGGCTGAGGTAGCGAAGGCGAAGCATAGCGGGTGTCGCTACTTGTCAGGTATATATATAAAAATTCCTGTCTCCGCTGTCTATATACCTCCGGCCTTGGGGGATTTTTGTTGTTTGTTTTGTTGTCCAAGAGAAGAGAATAGGCGTAGCAGAGGAAGGTGTATGAATTATGATGGCATGCATATATCATGTTGATGGTATTAGAGTTGCAGGCCAGCAGGGTAGTTGGTTAATTTGACGTATTGTCTTCATACTTTATTCGTGTGTGCAGTGCATAGCTAGATTCGGCGGGATGTGTTTGTCTAAATAGAGAGAGAGAGACAGAGTCAGAGATACAATACAAGTTTTAAATTAAAACACCTTAGCTTGCAAAGTCGATACTCGATAAATTCATTAATTCACTAGTACTTATGGTGTGATTATTAATTATTTGGCAAAAAGTTGAGGTGATCGATCATGTGGAAGCTGAAGGTAGCAGATGGTGGGAATGACCCATACATCTACAGCATGAACAACTTCGTGGGAAGGCAAATATGGGAATTTGACCCAACTGCTGGCACGCCTGAGGAACGTGCCGAGGTCGAACGCCTCCGCAATGATTTCACCAAAAACCGCCTAAGGGGTTTTCCCAGCGCCGACCTCCTATGGCGAACCCAGGTATATTATATCGCTCACTTGCTCTTCATTTTTCATATTATTTTTTTTCCTCTAAAAAAATAAAGAAAAACATGCCAAAAATACTCCCTCCTTCGAATAACTTTTCTTCAACCTCATTATATTTTTAAAATCCCCAAATTTAATTTCTGCGATCAATCCGCGGCCTTCTGCTTGTTCATTGTGGATGAATCCACATCGTCGCCACTAATGCGGGTGGCCATTAATATTCTTAATTGCGCTCCTCACGGCTGAGCTGGCTATCTTTAATTCCCTCCAAACCCGCGCCGTTTGATCTGCAACTGCAACACCTAAGTAATTTCGGAGTCTCAGTTCTACGGGAGTCCAATCGCTTCTCATCAATTCTTTATCTAATCCTTCTCAATTCCAAGTTTCAACTTTCAACCTCCAGAAATCGCTGATTCTTCCCCTCCCTCGCCATCGCTCCACGTCGCTCATCATCGCAAAAGGGACGGAAAGTTCGGAAAAATCATGAAAATCATTGAAATTATGGTAAATTATTTGACTTAATAAATAAGATTTTGAATTTGATTATGGTTTAATTATTCTATAATGGACCACTTTTAATATATTTACATATAAATAACATAGGTAATATTTATATTTAAATATTAATGTCGATGAAAATCTTAAAAAAAAAATTATGAAAGCCATGGAATATGAATATTGATCAAAATTGTTTCAACTAATAAATAAGACATAAATTATAATTAGTTACGGACCAATTTCTAACTATAATATCTAAAAAAATATAAATAATGTTTATATATTTTAATATCGATGTCTATAAAAATTTTGGGAAAATTTTTGGGAAAGATCATGAAATTTAATAGAAATAGATAGAATTTGTGTGAAATATAGTAAATAAGATATTGATTGTTCACTTAATTATGTTATATTTAACTATTTTTTTATGAGTAGGATTAATTTGTAAATATCAATGTTAATGATTATTGTGAAAAGATAATGAAAATATGTCAGTATCAATTAAATTATTGAAATGTTCTTTGTTTTCAAATTTCCACAATTACAAAATTCATTACAAAGTATATACATCAAAATAATATTTTTAAAATTAAAGAAAATAAAAAATAAAAAAAGGTAAACGATTATAATATTTTAATATTATACTTAGTGTGACGTGAGATATGAGAGAGAGGGAAAGGGTTGAGAGAGAACGCCAAAGGGCTGTGGGTTTTTTTTTTCTTTCCCAATATAACACGAGGAAGTATGGATTTGAATTTATGAACTTTTGGTCCCTCAATTTTAAAACATGTATTAAATAATAGACTATAATAATGGATATAACTCATTGGCACAGTGGAAGGTGGGCCAAAGCCTTCTTACTGGTGCAGGTTCGAGCCCCTCATTGTTGCAATTTTTATTACAAAATTTCTTCCTATGTTTATTGAAAGAATTTTCTTATTTCGTTTTCAAAAAATATAGAAAATGAAAATTTTCCAATTTACTATGTATATAGGTATTGATTTTATTCGTTTAATATATATATATATATATATATATATATAAGTTTTTTATATAAATATGTCATTTAAAAAAAAAAATTCTTCCACACTTCTAAATTATTTTCAATTATTTTGAATTTAAGTAAATTACTTCCAATCCTTTCCCCAGAAATTTCAAAACTTACTTTTCTTTTTAATTTATTTGTTGTCATATATATAAGATATTTTTTTTCTATAAACTATAGTATCTACATCTTTTCTTTTTTCTTTATAAATCATCAAAAAAAATTTAATTCAATTGTTTTTATCATATATAATTTTTAATTTGAGTTTTACAAATTCTAAAAAAAATCGGCAATTTAGAGATTAATTGTCTAAATTACCTTTTTTTTCTTTAACATACTCCATATATACTATGAATTTGAGATTATTTTGAAAATGTAGTGTACTAAAAATATATATATAATAGTCAATCAAAAATTTCTCTGGACAAAAATTTGGTATCCTTCAATTTTATATAGAGTCCCCTGAATAAAAATTTTGTAACGTTTTTCAACCATTGAAATTGGTGATATGCTGAATTGAAGTTTAAGGTTATGTTTACTTCAAAAGAACGAGAATGAAGAAATAGGAATCAATTCTTTTATTGTGTTTACTATTGAAATTTGAATCAAATGGTGGAACCCATGCAATTTTTCATTGTCATTCCCTCAAATGGGGCATTCTCATTGTTTTCTTACACCATAATCAATTTTATACTCATTACTTATTTTATGGACCCCACACATTTATTACATTTACTTTTATATTTTTATTATTTCTCTCTCATGTATTAATAAGACCATCACTTTTTATTTAATTGTTTTATATATTTTTTTACTTCATTTTCATTATACTACTAATAATTTTTTTCTTCTAATAAAAATTTATACATCTTTCATTAGTTGATGTGATTTCATTATATAAAATATTAGGAATTTATATTTATTTTTTAATTTTATTTTGTTATTATAATTAAATCAATAGATTTTTTAGAAATAGAATTCATTATTATTAAAATATTATAATAATAAAACTTAATAATATTTTAGATCAAATGACGATGGTTCTAATAAAAAAAGGTATTTTAATGGATGTAATTTTATTTTCATTATTCATTATTTATTAATATTAAATAAATTGTTATGATAAAAAAATATTTACTATCAATAATATAGTAATAAAATAAATTAAAATTTATTATTATTATAATTAAAAAATTATTAATTATAATTAATTTGAAATAAGAAAATGATATATACTAGTAATTGTCATATATCTAATTCATATTTAAAAAATTTTAGCAAACAACATCAAATAATTTTGATTCCGATTCTAAAAAATTTTTGATAAACAGCACAATAACATTCTCATTCCGTTTCATTTTCATTTTGGTTGATTCTCAATCTTCCTGATAAGCAAATATGGTCTAAAGGTGTTAGGAATTAGGGATTGGAACTATCCCACGTGGATTGAGTTGATTGTGAAAATCAAGGGTTAGATTTGCTATGAATACCTTTCCTTCACTACATGTTAAAAGAAGTTTTTTTTCTTTTCTTTTCTTTTTTAGTAAATACATGTTAAAGAAGTTGGGCCTTCTTGGACATCATAGGAGCCTAAGGTTTGATTTTTTTTTTTATTAAATGATATCCAGAGGTATTGATATGTCGAATATCTTGATATTTCTAGGTTTTATCGGCATGTGGTCAATATGGGTAGAAAAACAAAATTCTCCACATAATGTATGTCATTTGATATTTTAAATCCTAAAAATTTATATTTCTCTACTTCTTTTAAGTATTTAATATCTACCTTTTAGCTTCTAAAACTAAATAAACTCTTTTTGTTTTTCCTCAAATAAATATATAAACCTTTTGATTTTTTAATAAGTTAATCTATAATTATAATAATGAAAATACGTTGTAGTTTTTTGTTTTTCGTTTTCTTTAACTATTTTAGTGATATGTCCATACCCTCTATAATTGCAAACTTTTATAATTTTTCAGCCAAATTATTTCAACCTGCGGCGAAAATTGAAATATACTAGATATGCTTAACTTAGACGACTAATGCTAAAGAAATTGCCAAACTCGTTTGTAATATATATTTTCTTTTTAAAAGACTTATTTCAAAATTCAAATATATACTAATTTGTTTGGATAGTTTTAGGTTGTGAAGAAGATGGTATACAACTTTTTTTTTTTTTTGAAGATATATATGATATACAAATTCATTTAAAAAAAGGTACGTAGAGGGATAGTAAAGGAGGAGGTGAGCGTTAATTAGTTTATAATGAATTGATTTGAAGAAAAATAGTAATTTGGGTGCAGCTTCTAAGAGAGAAAAATTTCAAACAAAGTATCCCACCAGTGAAGGTTGAAGATGGAGAAGAACTGAGTTACGAAATAGCTTCAGATGCAATGAGGAGAGGGGCATATTTCCTAGCAGCCATACAGGCGAGTGATGGACATTGGCCCAGCGAAACATCCGGCCCTTTATTTTACCTGTGCCCTTTGGTGAGAACTCTCGACTCTTAAAATCTCTATTATAAATTTTTGTTAAATCCCTTATTTTTTATCCTGTAATAAAGTATTTAATGATTCTTTGGGGTTGTGGCAGATAATTTGCATGTACATCATGGGTTTTATGGACACAGTATTCAGCTCAGAGCACAAGAAAGAAATCATGCGTTACATATACAACCATCAGGTAATTAAAAAGTAAAAGTAAATGATTGGATCGGAGGAGCTGGTAGTATAATTTAATTATAATTTTAATAAGATGAAGAGATGATGATGTTTTCAGAATGAAGACGGGGGATGGGGGTTGCACGTAGGTGGTCACAGCAACATGTTTTGCACTACCTTCAATTACATTTCCTTACGCTTACTTGGCGAGGGAGCTGATGTTGAGGCTGTTTGTAGAGGCAGAAACTGGATCCGTGACCACGGCGGTGTCACCTCCATACTTTCATGGGGCAAGACTTGGCTCTCGGTATATATTAAATTATTAATCTTTTCACCTACCTCTTGTATTGTATTAATTGTTTTTACTTGATCAATCGAAGATATTAAACGTGTTCGAGTGGTCTGCCAGCAACCCTATGCCCCCTGAATATTGGATGTTTCCCACTTGGGTTCCCATTCACCCCTGTAAGTCATCTCCTACAAATTATTATTCGTATATACATGCCTTACACGTTGAGTACTTATGATATAATACTACATGCTACTTTGCATGCTGCTCACAGCAAACATGATGTGCTACACGCGAATCACCTACATGCCCATGTCTTACTTGTATGGCAAAAGGTTTCAAGCACCTCTAACGCCTCTTATTTTGCAATTAAGAGACGAACTTCACACCCAGCGCTACCACCAAATTAACTGGAGGAAAGTTCGTCATATGTGCGCTACGGTACACTCGCTACCTTATTTTACATCCCATTACCTACCCCACTATTTTATTAATTGAAAAAGAGAGTATTGAATCTTGTCTTCACCATCATTTTATCATTAAAAAAAAGATTGACCACTCATTAACTTTTTTAAAAAGTCTCTATTTTTCATTTTTATCCGTCAAATATTCAACTATGGTAAGAAAACAGAAAACATTGCTCACGAGAGCTAAGTATATATTTTCCCTTATTAATCATCTCTCTATAATAATAATAATTTATTATTGTTGTTGTTGCAGGAAGACCTGTACTTTCCACACCCCTTTGTCCAAGACCTGATGTGGGACACTCTCTACTTACTGAGTGAACCACTGATGACCCGTTGGCCTTTTAACAAATTGATCCGCCAAAAAGCCCTCAACGAAACTATGAGACATATTCACTACGAGGATGAAAACAGTCGCTATATTACCATTGGCTGTGTCGAAAAGGTTATCCTTCCTTCCACCTTAATTATTATTATTCATCTCTATTTTTAATCAATTCCAGCTCTAAGTAATATATATATATATGAACACATGGTGTTACACACACAGCCCTTGTGCATGCTTGCTTGCTGGGTGGAAGATCCCAATAGTGAGTATGTGAAGAAACATCTTGCTCGAATTCCTGATTATTTATGGATGGCCGAAGATGGCATGAAAATGCAAAGTTTTGGTAGCCAGTCATGGGATGCTGCTCTCGCCATGCAAGCTCTACTTTCTTGTAACATCACCCATGAAATTGGGCCTACCCTCAATAATGGCCATCAATTCATCAACAACTCTCAGGTAATTAATCCTACTTTACCTATATATTCAATTCAATAAAATCCCAAAATTCCCTTATACTACTTCCCACCTTAATTACTTTTGCAATATGTTTATTTCAAATTTAAAAGGTTAGAAACAATCCTCCTGGTGACTACAGAAGTATGTTCCGCTACATGTCTAAAGGATCCTGGACCTTCTCAGACTGTGACCATGGATGGCAAGTTTCTGATTGCACTGCCGAGAACTTGAAGGTGTAGCTACCTAGCTTCTTTTTTCTTTTTCCCTTAATCTCACTCGTGTTTTGAGTTCTGATACCATTTGTGGGTTACATCTTAAAACTAATTGGCAAATAAATGAGTATCCAGTCCCTTGTATATCTCACTTTCATTGATTTGGATCTTTCTACGTATACCATTAATTAATAATATATAATGAACTTTGCAGTGTTGCCTACTTTTGTCGTCACTGCCGCCTGAAATAGTAGGCGAGAAGATGGAACCCGAACGTTTCTACGATGCTGTTAATGTGATACTGAACATGCAGAGCAAAAATGGGGGCCTACCAGCTTGGGAACCAGCCTCTACTTACTATTGGATGGAGGTATACTTTGATAAAGCTAACCATTCGACTACTATTATTATATACGTTTAATTAATTATAATGATTTCCGCTCACCTTTGTCTAATTGTTGTATTCATCTCATGATATCAGTGGCTGAATCCAGTGGAATTTCTTGAAGACCTAATAATTGAGCACCAGTATGATATAGAATTATCAGAAATGAACTTTTTGTTTCCCCTTGGATATATATATTACAGTTGTCGTGGAAACTTTATATTAAAATTAATGAATGTGATTTCAGGCATGTGGAGTGCACCTCATCTGCGTTGCAGGCCATACTCTTGTTCAGGAAACAATACCCCGGCCACAGGAGGAAAGAGATAAATAATTTCATCAACAAGGCCGTTCAGTTTCTTCAGGACATACAATTGCCTGATGGTTCTTGGTATACACATCACAAACAATTTTCTTGTTTAATTTTAACATATATAACAAATTATATCGTCATATATCTTAGCTTAAAGATCACAAGTTAACTTATGGAATATAAAGGTATGGAAATTGGGGAATATGCTACACTTATGGAACATGGTTTGCACTCAAGGCATTGTCAATGGCGGGGAAGACTTACCAGAATTGCGAGGCACTTCGTAAAGGTGCCAATTTTCTACTCAAAATACAGAATCCAGAAGGAGGGTTTGGAGAGAGCTACTTGTCATGTCCTTATAAGGTAAATTGAGACATGCGTGTATATCATCTTGTTGTTTACTCCTAGCTACCTAAATCTAGGTGTATTATATTATGGAAAATATTTAAAGGAATCTTGAATAATGTTAAATATTTATCAATTAAGAGAGAGAAATGCAAAAACAAACATTTTTTTTTTAAATAATGAGTCAGATAAGATTTGATTCTTACTGAGGCAAGTATTTTCCTTTTATTATTGTTTATATTAATTGAATTGTTGTATACATGACACACCAAATAGAGATATATACCGCTAGACGGGAAACGATCAAATCTGGTGCAGACGGCATGGGGTATGATGGGTTTGATATGTGCTGGGCAGGCAAGTGCTCTCTCTCTCTACTACTTTTTTTCATCCCTAAACTCACATAAAGAATGTTTGGGGCAAGCCCATGACACTCTCTCATGCGCGCCGCCGGCCGCTACTGCTGGTTGGACGGGCGGATTGGGGGCGAAAAAGATATCTAAAACTCACATATTTCTCACTTTAATAACAATAATTAATTTCATAACAGGCGGATGTTGACCCCACTCCTATCCATCGTGCTGCCAAGTTGCTGATCAATTCTCAAACTGAAGATGGTGATTTTCCACAAGAGGTAATTGCCCACCGCCATTATTCTTTTTGCTTCTAAAATCCTACGCTAATCAATACACTTAATTATGTCTTTGTATATGTGCAGGAAATTACTGGCGAATTCTTCAAAAATTGCACCTTACACTTTGCAGCATTTAGGGAAGTTTTTCCTGTGATGGCCCTAGGAGAATACCGTAACAAGGTTCCCTTGCCTTCCAAGAAAAAAACAATAAATTCAGCTTTAAATTAACCCTACAAATGGAGAGTATGTAAACTTTTACTATTCAATCGTGTTTAAACGGTCTCATGATAACCTAAAAAAGTTGCGATGCTAATTGTACTTGAGCACAACTTTTGGTAATTTAGTGATGCCGCATTATGTTTCTGATCTTACAACTTGGATGAATATGATACCACAGAATTTATGCCAAAATTAAATGATATGTGATGTATTCAAGTGAAGAGAGTTTTACTGATTCATAGAATAATTGATACAAAATATAATGAAAGCTACTATGACCAACAAATAACCACCTAACTGACTAACATCCTAGTTAAATAAACTTTACAACTAAGATAAAGTTAGGTTATGTGCTGTAAAATATCAAGTAAAAACTAAAAGACGGTAAAATTATTATATTGACCCAACTACTGCGCTGAGATATAATACAATTATTATATTGGATTATTTTGAGTAAACAAAAAGTTAATTGAGAAAAAGGGTGATGTACGTACTATGTTGTCATGTAAACGTATGAGCTAATGTGACATACTTTCCGTTCAGCCTCATCATCGGGCTCGAGGCCTAAAGGCCGATCCAGGTCCAGCCCAAGCCCGATCCAAGCTCTATCTAAGGTCAACGTTTGACCGGCCATGCCCATTTAACCTTCTATTAATTGGATTGGATATGGATATTCATTTTTTAATTTGTGCTAGTCCTGAGTCCGATCCAATATTTATTAATATTTATATTATATAATATTAATGTATTCTTTTATTATTTATTTATTATAAAAAATAAATTAGATATAATAGGCTAGATCTTTTATTTCTCCTCGTACATATTACAAAGAGACTACCACCTCCCAATATCTCATTTAAATAATTGTTTTGAAACGAGGAAACTCTCCAACTTCCCAAATTCAAAATTTAAAATTGTTTTAAACATATCTAATATTTAGGTTGTAATTTTTAAAATTTTTTAATACAAAATTTTCGAATATAATTTCGAATGATGAGGCTGACTTTCCGCTAGACATAATTTCGAATATATATATATATATATATATATATATATATATATATATATAATAAAAGTAATATATTTATAAATATTTAACTAAATACAAAAATGAATGAGGAACTCATTGAGACTCCTTTTACTTATCCGCAATTGTAATCAACTGTAATAAAATTTTTCGTTACCTTTGATGGTGGGACACACCTCTTTGTAATCTCATTAATCTCATTACACTCCTATAACCTCATCAATCTCATTTTATTCGGTAGGCCCCACATATTTATTATATAATATTTACAACTTTTACCATTTCTCTCTCGTCTATTAAAAAGAGAAATGAAGGGTATACTAGTAATTGCAATACTGATTCAGATTCCGATTCTAGATAGTTCTAGTAAACAATATCAAAGGAATTCTGATTACGATTTCAGAAAATTTATAGGAAACAACATCAAAGAAATGACATTCTCATTATTATTGATTTCATTCCACGATTCATTTTCATTACAATTGCAGATAAGTAAACGTGGCCTAAAGTGGACGAAATCAAGACAAGGGTGAGGATTGAAATTCCCTGCAGGGTTGGAAATAGGGAAGAGTTGGAAGACACCTTACTCTCACACTACCCAGAGAAAGAAAGAAACAATTTTTAAAGAGTGAAAAAAAATTCAAATTTTTGTTTTTTTTTTAAATAAATTTAAATGTATTTAAAACAATTGTGAAAATATATAAAGGAATGGTAAGCAAAAGAAGTAAAATTTTCAAAAGCAGAAAACAAAGAAATAACATTGTTATCATGGGAGTTCATTGTCTAGTTATCATTCCTTATGAAATTGCCATTGACATATACCTCCATTTCGAATCCCCTCCCCAATTCAAATTATTACCCACTGACACGTTAAATCTAAAAATTCTGTTGAGTTAAACACCCTGTAATCACGAGTAGGAAAGCTGTAAAATTTTCCTAATTTTAGAATTTAAAGGTTAAAATCTTAAAACAGCTGAAATTTCGATTTCAACTACTGGTGTTGATGGGTGGAGGTAAAAAGAAAGAAACAATAATGGGGTTGCCAGTTGCCATTCAATTATCGATAAGCTTTCTCTGGAACAGAAATGGTTAATTGGTCTAAATCCTCTCCCTTTTGGCAACCTCCCCACCTTCTTCTTCATGACTCCATCACCCATTTCTCAAAAACTTGCAGTACCTTTTGAACCTCTTTCTCCCATTGTTTTCACAAAATTCACTGCTTTTTATTTCTCAAAAGGTAAATTTCTGTTCTTTGCGTAAATTTAATTTTAATTGTATGACACAACTTTTTTTGTTTCTCGATAATCATTCAGCTTTGAAGCAGCTGGAAGAGACTGGATTCATTCTACATGTTCCAAAACAAAGGTCGAAAAGCTGCATAATAATATTCATAGGCAGCTCAGACGTCCCAAATATCAATAATCACATTCTGAATGTCATCCAACAAAGTGAAGGGGCTTCTAAAGGGCCTAAGATATATATCTCAAATATTCGGCAAGTTGACAATATAATTTTTGTTTTATATATCTAATTTATTTTTTGTTTTGTCAATAAGAGTGTTATGTAGGATGGGATGTTAGCAAATTAGAAAGCAGAATGCCAATACTTGAGATTGTTGGCTTTTACAGAAAATGAGAAACAGGCGGAGATGCAAATTGGGCTTCCGACGGATGTAAAGCATGTTGCCCATATTGGTTGGGACGGTCCTTCAATCAATTCTCCAAGCTGGGTAAGATTTTTGTTGGTAAGAGAGAGAGAGAGTTGTGTAATTGGAATTGGAATTGGAATTGGAATTGGTGACTAATTTTTGGATGGGCATGCAGATGAATGAATTTAAAACGCCACCATCGTTTTCTTCATCTGCCCCTTTGTGTCTTCCTGCCCCTGGAGATCATGTGAAGGTGAAGGTGAAAGAGAAGGAGGTTTCTGTGAAATCACGCCAATCCTCAAGTTCAACTGGAAATGCCGCTGCTCCAGTGGACTCCCTGCAGTCTCCGTCTCCAACCACCAAGCCAAGACGCTGTTCCGATCAAAAACACCGCACCCGACGAGGCGAGCCCACCGTGCCAGACATTCCTAGACACGGCCGACGGAAGAAAGCATCAACCAGAACCAAGGCCCAAGCCGAAGTTGCAGAAACATACAAGTCACCATTTTCAGATCCTGGCTCCACCTCCACCTCTGGGACCGGATCCGGATCCATATATGTATCCAACCACACTGCCACTGGTTTTTGTCAGACGCCTTAAAATTCAAATTCAAATTCAACGGATTTACATTCCCGTACCATGCCAGTGTATGTGTTTCTAGACGGCGTGGTCTGGGTAGGGATTCTAAACTAGTTTTACACCCAACCAAAATCTCTCTTCTTATTTCCTACAATTCATCAACTGTACATTTACTCCACTCCCTCTAAAATAATTTAATAATGAAGTGATTGAGCTCTCGGACCAATTCTATATAGATCTAGATGTCAATTACTACTAAGTTAAATTCACGTTGGCTAGATTCATTGTTGTTTGAAAGAATTAGTCAAATTTGATACAAATAAATATCATGGTAGAAATAGGAAAAGTACACTTCAAGAGACTTTAAAAAATAATTTTACACTACTTGATACTTTTTCAAATTTTAGTAGGGAAAAATATTTCTTTCAAGACATTCCCTCATGAAAGTAGTGAAGATCGAAGACAATAAAACAAAGTTATGCAAAACCCTCAAATTCCTTATAAGCCCATACTCAAGATTGCTCCTCGGCATATTCTCATGAGATAACATATTAATCACATCATTTCAAACATTAAGTAAAAAATTAGAAAAGTGCTGGTTTAGTTACCTATTTCTTTCTTCTTCCCTTCTTTTTCTCTCGTTTACTTCGGGGCTTCAGCCTTGACTTCTGTTTTGCAACTTTATTTAATGGCTTCTTCTTGGTAATTGGCAGATTGTGCTTCTTATCCTTTGAAACCAATTGGCTTGTTGTTGTCTGTGGCTTGTCAATGGGATATATTTTTTCATCACGAGATACCTCACTAGTTGTCACCGTGACTTTAATGTTACCACTGTCATACGTCGTCATCTCTACAAAGAAAACCACAAACACCTTCGGATCAAAACTACATGATGTGTAGCTCTGTAACATAGATAACAATCTCATGTTTAATAGCAAAATACTCTCCAGGTTCCAAAGTTTTTACAAAGAAAATTTTGAAGGCTTGAAGACAATGTTGTTAATGTCACTTTTAGCTTCCCTATGAACAAAAATAATGTCTGATCTGATTCTCTAAGATGGACATTTCTTTCTTCCCATAGTATAATGACAGCCGAACTTGTAATTACTTTTATTTCATCATGCTTAGTTGAAGAGACTTGTGTTTAATATGAATTTTTTTGTAAAACACCAGAAATTGGGGCAAATGACTTCTCTTCCTCGTCCTCATCCTCATGATCATCATTCTGCTTGTCAACCGGCCAATCAGCTGGTAGAACACCACCATATAGCACCAGCTCTTTTTCTTCCTTTCTCTGCGAGATAATTTGAGACATTCAGATAATAGTTCCCATATGCTACAGAAAAAAAATATAAAAGGCAGTTTTCTTTCTTGTTTCCTCTGTCAATAATATTTTACACAACTTATGTGATAAAAATACAATATATACATGACTATATAGGACCATTTCAGTTGAAAAATGATTTGATATATGCATAAAAGCGAAAGAGAGAAAAAAATCCCGGATGAAAAGAAAAAGAAACGTTTAGGGGTTCACAATTAAAAGTAACAGAAAATCTACTAGGCAGTCTCTCATAACATAAATCACCTCCCTAACCCTCCCTAACTATGGTCATTTGTGGCGATATTATTGTCAAAATCATAAGGCCATTTGAATTTTTCTCAAAGGAACGATCTGACGTTTCCACATTTCAAGAGGTGCCCAAACTTAATTGCATAAGTATGCCTTCTAATTTTGTCATACCAATGAACGTAGAATTAAGTTCAGACATCATTGCTTGCAGATCTGTGAAAGAGAGATAAGTGCAAGTCTCCTAAACACCCGACGTGACCTATGAAACTAAAGATTGAAATGAATTCTTTAACCTTACACATAATTGGTATCTTTAGTTCATAACTAGCCTGATCTCCAGAATCCCCAGGAAATCTTAAACTTGGGACAATCTAAAATCTACCATAAAAGAATTTTCATGTGCAATCCTAAGTTCGGTAAAGGCTAGAAAAGTTGTATTGCTCAGAGACATATTTTTCAAGAGCAGAACAATCATTGTAGTTTCTCCTTCCCTTTTCTTTTTATATCTCTCCAAAGTTAACTTCCCAAGAATAAAAAAGAAATCTGTTTCATCAGTTTTTTTAAGAAAAATAGCACTTTTTTTTAAAACCTTTTTGCGTAATTTGATGCGCTTCCTCTTGCTGCTTCTCTGCTTCCTTTCTCCTCTTCTTCTTCCTCTTATGAAATCCAGTTACATAGTCACTAAGGAAAATCCAAGCCAAAATCAGATTCAAAAACAAAAGTTAACTAGAAATCAATACCAAAAAAAAATTTCCAAATTAACCGATTTATCAAATTTACGGTTACCGCAAGTCTTTCTCATTGAAAGACACTGAAAGAGCTTTGTTCCTGAGAGCTCTCTTCTTTATGTGGGAACCACAAAGCTGTGCAAGCTCACCTCCTTCGTCCCCTTCGTTCTCCACCATCGCACCGCCGTCTCTGCTTCACTTTTACTCTGGTTCGAGGCTCGCCGGCGGACATCTAAAATTAAGCGGGACGGATGATTGGGTCAGTGGGGTGGGCTTCAAATCTCGAATGTAATCGAGATGAATTGAGCCCGGCCCAAACTAAATTACACAAACTATCGAAAGAGAATTTTTTTTTTATTTTTTATTTTTAGATAATGTATTAGACGAACCATTTTAGAAACTTATTTATTTAAAAGATTTTTTAAATATCCATTTTGTCCTGATCTATGGGATTTATATTTATTATAAATTATCATATTTTAATTGTAAAATATTTAATTTTTCAAATTTGATGTTACAATCATTAAATTATTGTGACCTCTAAATCAATTATTCTACTCATCTCTTAATTTACTTCTTAAAATATTCTACTAAATAATTTATTTTTATTACAAAATATTTTTTACATCTCACTAATATTCATTGGAATCAGTCGCGGGATTTTACTTCATTTCATTCCAATTTTTGGCTCAATTTCAATATCTTTCCTACATCATCGAACAAAAACAATTATAAAATATATATGACTATAAACCAATAGATTAAACAAACAACCAAATAAAATAACCTCCATAATCAAATAATTCATATGAGATGCTCAATATAGCCACAACCTAAACCAAGCATCAATCTTAACACATATACAACAGAAGATATGATCAATTGAAATTACCATAACCATTCTCAGATAGATCTATATGTTAAATATAAACTATATACGGCTATATCCCAATAACAACCATTCTAACATACACTTATATGAAAATATAAATTATATCCAGCTATAAACTATAAGTGTTTAGTGCAGTATGAAGAATCGATTCACCAAAATCAAGCTTCAAATTAGCAAATTGGATATATACGCGTATATATATCAACAAAATTATATACAAGTATGTTGAGGGACCCACTGTGCACAGCTGACCTGTTCGAGCAATTCCGAGAGGGTCAACCTAACAGGTCGAGACCAAATACTTAGGGAAAAAGCAGGAGCACCAGGGCTTCGTCGTTGAAGGCAAATGAAGGACCGGTCAAACGCACGGACCGAAGGTCACTTAAGGGAGCTCGGTGCAAGCAGGAGAATACCCAGATGGGACAGGTAGCTACCACATTGACCATTATAAATACACCACCACCCAACGAGTCCATGTATGAAAATTTGTCTGAGCTTGAATTCTTGACTGACTTGGACGTCAGAGTGGCCTATTTGTTTTGCAGGTACCTCTGAGGGACTTCGTTCCAAGTAACGCCTACCAACCTCCCAGGTCGTTCTCCGTGCCTTAGCATATGTATGACTCGATAATCACAGTAGTTGAACATAGATTAATCAACCTATTTTTTAAAATAATTTTTAAAATGACAGTGACAATTCCTCCAATTTTGATCTAATGAATATCCCAAAATCACTCACAAAGCACCTCAAAAATCATCCAAAAATGACTAGCATGTGTGCTAGAATTTAACCAAACGTCGAAATAAACATCAAATAAACAAATAATTGAAACAAAAAACGAAATCATGAGCAAAATAATGAAATATTAAAATCTAACCGCCGAATGACTAAATAGAAGTTGAAGGAGGCAATGGCGGTGGCTGTGGACGGTTGTTGTGGGTGTTTGACAACAAGTCTGATAGCGGCTGACGATAATGGAAATAGAAGAAAACGAAGAACACTAAGAAGACGAGGATGGTGACTGCCAAAAATAACAATGAAAAGCGACAATGAAGAAGAATAATGAAGAATACGAAGAAAGAACTAAAAATTGTGAAGTTTTTTTTAGGAAAGTTAAAAAGTGCGTAATTTAGGGATTTAAAACATAAATCGTATAAATCAACCATTTTTCTATTTTGAATTACACATATATAAAAAAAGATATATTGGTAAAATGTTAATGAATTTATGTATTTTAAGACAAAAGTGTAAATTTTTAAGAATAAATTCGTTTGTGTAATTAGTATCTCTAAAGGATCTATTAATGTACTTATCTCTTCTTTTTTTTTTTTCATTTTTGGAGAGAACTATTTTTTCTATCCAACCTGACTTTTAGTGATTGGTTCAAAATATTAGCCCCAATTTTATGTGAATCGAACCGTTTGATTCAGTTGGCAGGTTCAACAAAAATAAATCAGTTCAACCCGAACTGAATTATGTTATATTATATTATTATTATATATTTATACATTTAGAGTTTCTTTTTGTTTGAGCCACCTCTTCACATCTCCTTTCCCTTTGCCTCGTTGTTTCTAACCTCACTCATCTCTAATTTCGCCATTACCATTGTCTATCACAATTTTATTCCTCAATCTCGATCTTACCTCTCATCTATCGCGATTTTTTTATTGAAGTAAATTAAACTAAGAGTCTTTGTAGAGACATGCAGAGTAGTAGTGTGGTGTCGGTTGCGACCGTTGGAACCTTCTTAGAAACTTGACTTTTTCTTGGACATCTTCATCAGCTATTAAGAAGTAGAGAACTTGTTAAAAATATTCTCCCCACAAATTGACTCTAAATATTATTAACGAAGTATTGGATCAACATTTGAAATAAGATAGATTTTTTATCAATCGAACTGAGGACCTGTAGAAAGAACCATGCATCGACGTGGGACTCATCGGTACTTAAATTAAGAGTAAGGTAAGGTGGTAGGCTTCGATTTTATCCGTCACAAGATTTTATTTTATTTTATTTTTTTCAAGGCGCCCATAAAAATTTGCTTGGAAAAGAAAAGGTCAACATCGGTCGTGTACCTTTCCTTCTTTCCACGATGGGGAGCAAAGAATTGGGAATAAGTAAAACAAAAGGAAAAAAGAGGACTTATGAGAATCCAAATTTAGAGCAAGGCTCTTCCACTTTCTCCACCCATAGAATTTGCTTTCCAAAGTTGACGATCTTTCTCTCCCATAATGGCGGTCGCGGGATTTTATCGCAGGGTTCTTCCTTCTCCTCCAGCTATAGAATTTGCCTCTTCCCATGGAAAGGTGCTTTAAACACCTCACACCTTCTCTATCTGTCTCTTTGCAATTTCTTTTATCACTCTCCTAATTAGTTTCTGACTGGCTTCAGCTGTGTGAATTTTGCAGCGTCTCTTTACTGAGGCGCTTGGAGATGGAACCATGGAAGGGTTTTTCAAGTTGATTTCTTACTATCAAACGCAATCCGAACCTGCTTATTGTGGACTCGGCACCCTTGCCGTTGTCCTCAACGCACTTTCTATTGATCCTGGTAGAAAATGGAAAGGTAAATTGATCATCGCCACTTGTTTTCCCACTTTGCATTGTTCAAGCAAGTGGCGATGTTCACAATCGAAGAATTGCAACCCTTATCCCTCATAGTCCTCATACGTGAAAGAATGAGTATAGTGTATGGAATCATTATGAATCAACTTTCGGATAGCTGTTTCCGTTTCATTATCTTGTCTGCAAACATCAACCAACGCCAACTGTATGTTTCATTGTATTTAGTTCATCTCTTTGACCAGTTTGGAGATCATACGTTATCGAGCCTTCGCATTTTCATTTCCAAACAGGATGATTTGGTGCCCTCCCTTATTACTAGCTATTTTTACTATTTTAGCTAATTGTAATAGGCCATTTATTTCGATTAAGGTGTGGCCATGTAGTCTCCAAATCTTCAATGCTCGCACTGATGGAAACTGTAAATTGGGTTCACCAGCGTTCTTGCATGCATATATCCTAACAAGTAATATTTAACGAAAGAAAAAGAACCAAAAAGAACTAGGTGCAGAAACTACTAGTACCATTTATTTCATAAAACTACCTTCATAGCAACAAATCTCATGTAAGTTCGAGGAACTGATGTTTCTTGTTTCCTTCAGGTCCATGGAGATGGTTTGATGACTCTATGCTTGACTGCTGTGAACCTTTGGCAAAGATCAAAACTGAAGGTATCACATTTGGAAAGGTTGCATGTTTGGCTCGTTGCAATGGTGCTAAAGTGGTAGCTTTTAGGACAAATGAAAGCACCATTGATGATTTTCGCAAGTAYGTGGTGTCATGTTCTTCTTCTGAGGACTGTCATGTGATCACTTCCTACCATAGGGGAGTTTTTAAGCAGGTATATCCAAATTAATACCTTTCATCAATAGTCTTACCTTATGTCTTCTAAATTAGCTACAGTGACTGAAAGATTTGTATATTTTTATAAGTCTAACCCAATGAACGAAAAGAAAAAAAAAACTCAATAAAATATTAATAAAGATTGGGCTCTAATCATGAGTGTTACAGGTGAATGGGTGTTTGAGTAACAACTTAATACATTCTGAGGAAGTTATGGCACATTTGATCACTTGTTATAGAAATTAATTTGAGGTTTGTTGTTAACACTATAATTGGTTTCAGACTGGAACTGGCCATTTTTCACCAATTGGAGGCTATCATGCTGGAAAAGATATGGTTCTCATATTGGATGTTGCACGCTTCAAGTATCCTCCTCACTGGGTTCCTCTTACCCTACTGTGGGATGCCATGAACACAATTGATGGTGCAACAGGACTACCTAGAGGGTAACTTCTTATTCTAATTTCTCATGTTAATTTGTGGAGTGGGCTCAGTGCTGCAGTTCCATGTTCTGAATTTTTTCTTTCTCAGGTACATGATTTTATCTAGGCTTCCCAGGGGGCCGTCTATTCTTTACACTCTGGTACATCATTTTCTTGGAGATATTGTGCTCCTCCCACCCCCCATTTCCCTGCTTAACTGATTATGTTTTGTCATTTATCTACAATTTTAGATGTTGTCTTATACACTGCTACATACTAGGGGTGTTATTAGATTAGTCTAGGATGAAAACTGAAGTTTAATCAACATATACACAAGGAAAAAAGAAAGAAAATTGATGGATAAGGCCACATTTGATAACCATTTTGATTTTTTGTTTTCTTTTCGGGTATTTTTGTTTTTGTTCTTGGTTTTCTTTTATTCCCTTGTTTTCTTTAGTTAAAAAATTGGTAATATATTGATAAGAAAAGAAGACACAAATGATGGGAGCTCATAAGAATGCTTGCTAGTAGGTTAATAACATAAGAAGGGGATGTATATGTATATTCATATTTTTTGAGTTCAACAATGGCTAGGTGGAGGATTGAACCATCGATCTTTGAGATGGTAGTAGGTGTCTTTTTCACTTAGCTATGCTCATATTGACAACATGAGGAAGGAGGACCCACAATGTCATATAGTGATTAACATCTTCCCAGAGTTTGTTTATAGGACATTCCAAGTGAGAAAAAATGTGTCAATCCCTTTCAAACCGAATCGCCCCATATATAATGGTACTAGATAAAAGCCAAATAATGATCTTCACTTTCTTAGGATATTTATTTTGTTTCCTTTTTAAGTATCAAATATATCAATATTTTTTTTTAGAAATATTGGGTGAGGTAAGAGAGACCCATTTGACAAATTGTGGAGCAAAGTATGGGACGGCTAATGGGCCAACCCAGCTTTCAACTTCTCTCTCTCCTCTTGTCAGCATCAAATATATCAATATATACTCATATTCTAATTGAATAAAAATGTGTCCCTAGTGTGTCCATCGTTTTACCTTTTTAGAAATTTACATGTTGCCATATCCATATTGTATTGTATTTGTGCCCCTTAGCCACGTGTAGTACTATTTGGAAAGGAAATGTAGATTATGTCTAGAACTATTTTGGTGAGGTTAATATCCAACCCGAAATCTTTCCAAACAAATTTATATTAAGAAACACATTTCTAAGTTTCTTCTACTTATCCTTGTTTACAACCAAAGTGTCATGTGCAAATTGTGGATGATTTAATGATTCCTTCTCTGCTGTCTTTAATTAAACCCTTCCAGAATTCCATGTCTTCAAGCTCTATCTTGGACTCTGCTTAGCACGTTGAAAATAAGGATGAAAAGGGAGAGGAGAGAGAGGGTTCCTCTATCTTAAACCTCCTGAAGAATAATGCTACCTCTGGTTTTTCTGTCAAAACTATCTTTCTGTGAATAGTACATAGCAACTGCTAGTCCACCCTGTTATAGACCTTTTTTAGATCAATACTAAGAACCCAGCTTTTACCCTTCTTGATTCTTCTTTCATCCACAACTTCATTTGCAATTAACATTACTTTCAGTCTTCCATTCGTAAAAGCTAATTGGGCTTTCAGATATAGCACTAAGCAGCACCATTCTTATTTTCTGCTAGGGCCTTATCCTGATCAGACATCTTCCCTAAGCATTTTGCTTCTCTTTGCTTTATTGATCAAGTAGTGTTTTCCACTTGCACGAGTTTGGCTGGCAGGAATTGAGAATTGAAGGTCTTTTGAGTAGAATTTATTGAAACTGTGATAAACTAAGGGAAGTTTAAGAGTCCTCTATCTCTCCCTTACAACTAACACTTTTAGTTTTAAAGACCGGAAAGAAGGATACCCAACCACTGTTCCTACTAGTATTTATACTCAATGCCTACCTGACCCTTCATATTCTTACTAAATGACTAAGGACTATCTTTCCACAATTTCCCACCATCTATTAATGAATACAACAATTTCCCATTACCTAATTATCGATTTTCTCCACCACTGTTTCTCCTTTTGTATACTTTCACTATTGGAGGTCTATCACTTTGATCTTTGCGTTGGTGACACTAAAATAAGAAAGTGGGAAATTCTAGTGTTGTTTTCCCTTGGATTCCCAACTCTTAGGAAACCACAATCTTGTTTGTAGTTCAGTTTTGATATTACCAATGGTATATGTTTTTTGGTCTTTTCTTGGACGCACTTCTTATGTTAAGAATTTATATTACACACTTGTTGTAAATTTGTTTTGTGCAGAGTTGTCAGCATGAAGGTTGGAACAACGTTATAAAATACTTAACAGAAGAGGTTCCTCTACTTTTGAAAACAGAAGATGTGAAAGATGTACAGGAATTACTTACTGTAGTATTTAAATTGCCACCTCCAAATCTCAGACAATTTATTAAGTGGGTTGCAGAAGTTCGGGAGCAAGAGGATGGGAACGTAAAATTAAGTGTAGAGGAGAGGGGAAGACTAGCTGTCAAGGTTCTCTTGAACTTCTTTATGTTATTTTTCTCGTTTAACTATTTGCGGATAACTTTTTCTTTTCAGGCTATTGGCTCCTTGTATAATTTCCTCTTTCACTCTTGTTTAAAGTGATATGTGAAATGATCGAGATTCAAGTATAGATTTTTTTTTTTTAATTTTCTGAGGTTTAAGTTTGGAAATCTCAGGAAGAGATATTGGAACAACTACGAGAGACTGAACTCTTCAAACATATCAAACAGTGGTTGGCATCTGGGACACTATGCAAGGGCTTGGCATCTTTGTTTAACAAAGATGAATTACCTGAAATTGCTGCAACTGTTTGTTGTCAGGGGGCAGAAACTCTGGCCGGGAAATCTTGTTCAGCTGATCGAACTTTCTGCAAAACTGATATCCACCTTTTGAATGGTGAAAATGAAAAGCCAGCTGTGGTGGTGTCAGGGACTGTTGTTAGTAAGGTTACTAAACAAGGAGTAGATATGTTAGTACCTTTATGTAAAACAGAATCGAGCCAGAGTCAGATTTCAGATGAGTGTTGTTGTGATTGGCCATCTGTGATTGATGTGCTAACCATACTCTTGCTCTCACTGCCTCAACATATTTGGTCCACCATTAAAGAAGAGAAGTTGTTGGGAGACATTAAGAGACTTGTTGCAGAAGACTACCTTCCTGCTATGCTTCGGGAGGAGGTAATCCAGCTTTAAGCTTCAGCTTTTTTTTTCCTTCTGTTCTTATTTCTAATCTTTTTTACTGGGTTCATGACAGGTTTTGCACTTGAGACAACAAATGCACTTTCTTATGACTGATCTCAGCTAATATTCTTCCTCGTATTCTTCACAAAATTGTAGAATGACCAGTTCATATTTCATTTTGTTGCGGTAGTTTAGAGAATTTATAGCAATGGTATTGGCATTTCAGTGGAAATATCCAGTCTACATGTCTCGTAATAACTTGTTCCTCACTGAAATTTAGTCTCATATTTATAAAGACCGTATGATGATCATTAGTAAATAATCTTTTATGAGTTTGGCAGCTCTGTCATATTATATCTTGTACCTATATTATTTTTAATTCAATTAGAGAAAAGTTAGCACAGAAAACTAACTAGATATAACTGTTGCATAAACGAGGGCTCAAATCATTTTGGGAAGAAAAGGTAGGCAAAACATCTCCTCCATCATTGACTAGCACAGATTTGTGGACCCCATCTTCCAAGTCACGTCTATAAATTGACAATTAATTCTTCGTCTAGCTGGACTAAATTTTGCAACTTGTGCAAAAAATTCAAATTCTTCTTCTGGCCTTAGGTGAAGTTAAAGTTGTAAGAACAATGCTCAGTCTCATACGGTACCCTCAGGTTCGGCTCTCCTCGATGTTAGGTCTTTGTTTTGCAAACATCTGTGCAGCATATATCAAAAATATAAAACTTTATATAAAACAGTACCATTATAGTATTATTTTTAGGAATATATGCTGCATCTATCCAACATACTTTCTAGAAATTTTTAGAAATTAAGGATGGCAAAACTCATAAGACCCAATCCCCGTGGGTAACTGCCCCAATAGGGTCGGGAAATCTTCAATTTGATTGGGGATGGGGCCAAACTGAGAATTTTAATCGAGTCCTTGGGGACAGAGACGGGGAAGGGTATCTCCACCTGTCCTCGTTCCCAACCTCACCCCATTTAATATTTTAATAAATGTTAATTATTATATATATAATAATATATTAAATTTAATAAATATTTTATCAATTTTAAAAACCTCAAATTTCTTTTTCTTTTTTCTCCTAATCCTAATTTTAAGTTTTATAATTTTTATAACAATTAAAGATTGGTTGGATTTAAAAAACCGGCACATTAAAATGATAGGTATTTAATTATACAGATTTATCTTTTCCGCTCTCATTTTCCTCTCTACCAAAGAATCGAAAGAGAAAATAACCCAGAGACGAAGAATGTTTTCTTCTCTCAATACAAGAGCACACTTAGCTTCCTTCACTCACTCTCCCTTACTGGCCACGAATTGCTCTAAACAAATTCAGCAGAAAATTAACCCAACATTTCAGGTCATAACCCATAAAAGGGAAGACCCAAACCGGAGCTAATAAAGACGAGAAATTAGAAGAGTCTGAGCTGGATTAAATTCCCTTGACCTGAATCAGCAACACCTAAGCATCTAAGATATAACACAATATCAAATTATTTGTAAAAAATATAACAGTTTTGCATGTTCGAGCATCCTTAGAGTCATCTAAGAACTCTGCCCGATCCTACGGCCTAAATTTCGACAGTTTTGCACAACATTATGGCTCTCCTTAGCTCCTCTGAACTAACTTCTAACTTAAGTTTCGTAGTGCATTCGACAGAATATCACATCAATACTGAGTTCGACCTTATAGGTTATATGTTCATACAAAGGATATCACAAGTCACCACTCTCCGGCCACGTCTGCAAACTGAAATTTAGCATCAACATATAGAATAAACTACTATTACAAATTAGTAATCTAAAATCCAAATACAGTTGGTACCTACACCAATATATTTCGTAAAAAATTTAATCTAGAAATAACGACTTTTGTATAATCCCAAAAATTGGGGAAAATATCTTGAAATCAAAATTTTAAAGATGTCTAAAGTAAGGATCATCTTTAAAAATAAATAAAATTAAAAAATAATAATAATAATAATAAAAGGTGCATACTAGAGGAAAATTTCCCTACAAATTTCGGAAAAACGAAATTAACCATAACAAATACAAAACCTCAAATGAAATTCAAACGTTTTTACGCTCATTCTTCGACTATGCGAATCAAAGTGGAATTCCAATACATGTCGTTTATGAGTGCTCTGATTCCCATACATGTCATTTATCAGTGCTCTTTCCTTACGTGGAATTGAAGAAGCTAAGAGAACCCCCTCTGTTTTTGTTGATTGATTGGAAATGGAATCAGTTATCAGTCTTTGGAATTCCGATACACACCATTTATAGCTTGATTTATTTATTTCTATCAGGGCTCTTTCCTTCTTTTTTTTTTTGGTCCATCAAAGAAAATTTTTTAACCCCATGAGCCTAGTTATTGAAGGTCGAGCTGATCTAACCCAAATAGTGTCATGAGCATTTAACCTAGCCGAATGATATAGGTTGATGTATATGGAAGGTTCTAAGCTACTTCAACTTTTTATTTTTCTTTAGATGGAACCTGGCAAAATTTTATGGGAGATTATCAATTCAACCACTAAAACCTATATCCATAAAGCAAGAAAAGTTGAAACTATAAGGAAAGGAACCTCCACTCCATAATCTCAGCAAAAAAGCTACTCGTTATTAAAATTTGCACTTGTTTTCATCAAATGTTAGACGTGCGCGCATTCATTTCGCGGCAAACAACAATCAGAATCGCACTGATTCCATGAAAAACAACAATCACTAGGAAACGAGTAATAAATACATAAAAAAGAATTTAAATTTTTAACTCAATATGCTGCTTTAACTGCTTTCTCTGCAGCATCATCCAGATCTTCTGCTGTTATCAATGTCATCCCACTTTCCTGCACACCCATCATCAGTGATCACAATAATTTACTTTTTACTCCCTCCTCTCTCTCAGTTAATAAACCTTTTGGATTTTGTTGTGGGGATAGAAACAAAAATATAGTAGTTGATTGTTTACCTTCAGAATCCTTTTTCCTTGGTCAACATTCGTGCCTTCAAGCCGAACAACAACGGGCACTTTCAGGGAGACCTTCAACACAAGGTCATACACAATCTTAGAATAGCATCCTCATAACCGTAAATCTTGCTGAACAAAGAGAAGCCAACAGTTACCTAAACATGTGATTTATGGACTAAAAAGGTCTATTTCCATTATCGTTTCTTGGGATTGAAATTATGCTAATCTTCAAAAAGAAACAACTTTGCGCTAATATAGGTAAAAGTTACAGTGTACAAGAATTCAAAAGAAACATTAAAAGCCCAAAAGTATCCGGAAAACTAAGAACCCATCACTTTTCAGCTCTACACTCACCCCATTCTACCATTTCCATCTGTACAAAACCACACAAACATCCCCTCAAATACAGAAGAAACAAAGGTGTCAAAAGAACATGGATTTAAAAGAAACAGTAAAAGCCCAATGGAAAAGAAAGAACCTGTCCCTTCAGCTGTACACTAACCCATTATCGTTACCCTTTATACAAACCACACAAACATCCCCTCATACTTTTAAGGCTTGAGCAAAAAACCATGATCATATATCATCTGATCTCAATAGTAAGTGAATTACTAACTCTTGGTATGCAATTGAATTTTTTTCTTTTTTTATATGTAATAAACTTGAAGTTGAATTCATTCCAAAAAAAAAAATGTTTGGGCAGAGGAAGAGGGAACCCCCTCCCAGAAGATCTAATTACACGCAAGTCTTCCAACTATGAAGGACTGTGGTGAAGGGATGATCTGCACACCGATACAAAGCGAATCAAACCGAACTTCCCCGTCCTCAATCAAATATTCTATAAGTTATCTCCGACCAACATCTCCACAAAAGAGCTTGCACTGCAGAGCACCATAAGATATTTACTTTCCCTTTTCAGAGACCACCCATTGTTCGCCTCCAGAAGCCATATATCTACTTGATTCGGCGAACAGAACACCATCCCAAATTCTTTAAAAAGGAATGAGCATCCCTTTCTAACAAAAGTGTAATGGATCTGGATGGGTATGTTGTTTAATCTGACCCACCCCCCATATGATGTCAACACACAAGTTTTGCCATGTTTCTGTGAGTCCAACAACTCCAYCTCAAGTATAATAGGTTTGAAAGTCACCCAACCTTTATTATGTGCACTCAATCGAGGGACACTTCAAGAGAGCATATTTGGTTGAAAGAAATTAATGATAAAATTCTCCTCAAGTGGCTCAATGTCGTATGGAGGACTTTCCCCCAATTGTCATGAAAATCTCTCCTAGTCACAACAACCGTGTCATTCCATTTCAGAGCTCTAACTACTTTGTGTCCTATCCCTTAAAGCAGAAAAGGAGTGTCCTTCTTACCCCTTCGGATTTCACAATCTCTGCAAAGGGAGGGCCTCTTTTACTCTTTTTTGATAAGAAACAAAGAGTCTTGTATTCAAGATCAAAAGAAGCCCGAAGGCAAACAGAACAGCCTAGAGGCAGAGGGTCGAGGGGACCCTCCCCGAAG